TGGAAGGGTGCTGTTCAACTTTTCTAAAGAGCTTTGAGAAGTTCTCCAATGTGAAATACATTATATACATATAAATTGTCCATATCTTGCAAGTCGTTTTCTCTCTTGACTTCTTTGAACTGTCTTTCTGCTTTCTTCCCAATTTCTTATATTGTCAATTCTAAGATGCAACAGCAAATACACTTAGGGCTACAATACCCTGAGTTCATGCCAGGATGTTCATGCCATTGCATAATCTCTTTCCTCCTCCCTTTCCCTCTTTCAGGTATTTCCAGTTTTCATCTGCTCTGCTCAGATGGTGGATAGGCAACGTATACCTCATTGCTCAATACAGCTGGAAGATGCACAACCAGCTTAAACTAACCTTTTTTGTTTTCCTTGTTGTGGGAAACTTATCTGTTTTGGCACCCCTTCGACAGTTATCTGAGATGTCCCTGTTTTTTTAAGACTAAAGAACTGCAGGAAATTGCTGTCATACGGTACACATGCTGGTTGCTAATTAAATTTCTTAATACCGCTGGCTACAAGCAACAAAAAGGATACTGTTAATTCAAAGTTGAAGCTAATTGAATTTGGCTCATTTATAACAAATGATTTTCAAGATTTTTTCTGCACTATTTTGAAATGCATTTTCTTAGTTTTGTGTTTTTGGGCAGAATTATTTTGATCTCCTGTGTCCAGTGATGAAAATATTCAATTTTGCATTCATGTCTCTGAAGAAGCCTGATGTGAGCACAATGTTAGGATAAAACAAATAGAGATGCAGTTCTTTTCCACTCCCATGTTTAAAAGAAATGAATGAGCAGACTTTCCTCTGTTGGTTGTTTTTCCGGTCCACATTTGTGACTTGTTTCCTTCTGTTGTGAATGACACAATGCACACATTCATACTAGTTGTTCCAAGATGTGCATTAATATGAAGTTAGCTCAACCCTCCTGAAATCCAGAACCTTTCCTGCAACAGGCATCATGAGCCTTTCACAATCATTGCCAAGATCCACTGGATCCTTATTCTCCCAACAAACTAACATGTAAGATACTTGTTTCTAACTTTCAAATGACTCTACATGCTTGCCTTACAGTCTTTCTCATTCTGCTCTATTAGCTAAGTCCTGCTTCCTGTCTCTCAATTCCCCCATCCCACAATTAGTTGTTCAGCTTTCAGCCATTTTACTCCTGTTTGGTACAGTTTAAAGCCCTGCTCAAAAGCCACTTCCCTCTCCATCCTTCCCCTTTGCAAGATTCCCACACTCTGAAACGATTTGAGTATTTTCCCACATAAAAGGTGCTACATTTTTTTTCAAACCTAACAGATTTTGTCTGATGTAAAGTCAATGTAATTCTGAATAGAATAAACGACTACCTATTTTCCCAGAATATTGCTGCAACCTCTATTAATTGCACCCAGTTGAACAATTAATTACTTAACCGGATGGAGCTCAAATGAAGTTGGAAAAATTGTCTCTAGGTGATTGTTAATGAATTTTAGAGAACACTAAAGCTAGGATGGATGTGTTGTTAAGAGCTATAAACTGGATGGTAAGATTATTGTTCAGAGCTAAATGAATTGTATTTTGAGATTTGGACATCTTTGTTCAGGATGACCACAATATTTGTTTCTACCGCTGTTATTATCAGTGTGTGTGATTGTGTTTGTATACTTTCAGTGGGAGGGTTCAGATTAGATGTTGGTATTGCTCCCAGTGTCCATGGAATGAGATTCTCCTCTTTTTGAATAGTGCCATAGGATCTTAATGTCTACCTGAACAGGCAGATTGATTTAACATCTCATCCAAAGGATGGCACCTCTGACAATACAACCTCCCCCCCCACCTCAGCACCGCATTTGAGTGTCGACTTAGACTGAGTTCAAGTTCTGACATAGGGCTTGAGGGTTAATATGACAGTTTAAGGAACTTTTGCCCATCCTGGTATAAACCATACTAAGAATACTTTCACAAACATCAGACAAACAGACTCTGGTCACAAATATGATGTGTGTTTTTGTTTTGTGTTGTGCTGTGTGAAGACTGGAAGTGTAAAGTGAATATTTCTGTTTCTGCATGTGTGGCTTTTGTGTGAACAGGGCTTTGAATTTTTGGTTAGTTTATGGAACTCTGCTTATTCAAATCTTTGGGGGCTGCTGTTTGAAAAATTAATGTAACTTGCCTGTAAGGAAAATCTCCCAAGATTACCTGCAATATATTTTGTTCTACGTTTGGTCAAAATGTTTTATATTTATCTGTAATTAATTTGGCCCTCTGAATTCTCACTCAAATTGGCTGAGTAACGTGATAGCACACTGTAACAATGTCATCCAAGGGAACTTGAGGGAGACAGTTCAGGTGAGGCAGTAGTAGTATCCTCGGTGGAAACACACTTTTATGAAATTTATTAAATTGTTTGTGTTGGAAGGTTTATATTCCTGTATATCTGGACGTGTGGTCTAGAGCACTTCAGTTGTTGAGAATGAATAGAAATAGTGACAAACATGAAATACTTTTGAGCAGGTACATTTTCACATTACATTTTACTGATGCATCATTGGTCCTCTTGTCTGTTTACAATAAGACCAGAACAAGAGTTTATGATGGTTCAGCTAGACCGCCAGTCCTTCAACCATCTTTTCAAAATATCTGCACCTTCCACCAGAAAAGTTTCTACACGTGCTATTGTATCTTCTTACTTAGTTTCTTTCTGTTGGGAGTGTGATTCCACGGGCACCAGATACCATCCACTGTTTAACAATTCATATGTTCCTTGACAGTGAATGTTGGCCGGCTACTTGACTGCAGAAGACATCAAATCCTAGCCAAATCTGTCCTTGTCAAGCATTGTACACATGTGCACCATCCAACAGTGGCTTCTGGATAGGGGACACTTAACCCAGGGATGCTGATTTGTATTATAGTGTCCTGGCTGGGATCAGCAAACTCAGCACAGGATTTCAAGCTGCTTATTTCTGTACATGGCAGTCCATTTAACCAGTACACTCAGAACTCGACTTTGAATTATAGTTGCGCATGATACAGATAAGACAGTACAAGGAAATGATTAGTTTGCTTAATTTGCTTATAAGCATCAGTCATGTAACATTCAACACAAATGTATTTATGTTCAATGTGTAAATGGTGGGGGGGAGGGGCAGGAATTCAGATTAATCTGAAAAATAAAAAAACATAAATTTAGAATAGCAAATGTCTGTCTGTAGGCTACCTGTAGCGGTCAAATTTTCAGGCAGCACAGTTAGCTGAATCTTCCCTGGAGTTGTATTATTCTTCAGATGAGATGTTAAACCAAGATCCCATCTGCCTGTTCAAGTGGATGTTAAAAATAATAACCGTTGCATGTGATAATAGCGCCTTACCATGCGCTGAGATTTGTCTTTAAGTGCTTCACAGAATATACTGTAAAGTGAATTAACTATTTGTGGGTAAAACATGGCAGCCAACTGCACACATTAATGTCCCACAAACTGTTGTGGGTTGAGTGACCAAATTATTTACTCATTTTTTAGAAGGGATTACCCCGAAAGCAATTTTCCAATCGATTAACAACTGGGTTCCTACCATTGCTAGGTAGCAGAGGCGTGTGGAGTAAGGAAACTTGCTTAACGTTTCACCCTCCTCGGGAATCAAACCCTGGTCTTATCGCTTGTGAAGCAAGTGCTCTAACCAATACGCAGCAGGACTTCACATTTGACTGACGTTTAAGCACGGAAGGAAGGATTTGAGTGCCTGTCAAGTTTCATTGAGCCTCATTTAGCAGCAACACAGGAGCTACAGTGTAGTTACCTGAATTTATGGCCTGTGTTGCTTTTACACTACATGCATCAGCCAGCAGCCTGTAATGAAAATCCACAGGGTTCTCTGGTCCCCTCCAAAGCCTGATCTCCTTTGCTTCAGTTTCCAGAATCGGTATTTCCCTTTACCTTTGTTTCCAGAATGAAAATGCTCAGGTATATTGAATCTGAAAAAGTAGACAAATCTATCTTGCAGAATATGAGCTTGGGCTGATTACTGGCAAATGAAGTTCAGTGTTGCAAATTAGCAATAACATAGAAGAAATACATTCCTTGAATAGTGTAGAATTTACTAAAAGAGGAAGTTGAAAGACTGTCACTTTTAAACCGTGACTCAAATTGTAAAGCCAAAATAAGATGTGCTGATGGAATTTTTACATATGTAGAATTACACTGCGATGGCTTGATTTTAATATGTGAGTTGTGCAATGATGGTAGATTTGTTGTGCATGCATGAAAATGTTTTTTAAAAAAATTGATGTGATCACGCCTAAGGAAATGCCCCTCCTTTCTTCTGCCCTAGAGGTTCGGCACCCAACCCCCCAGTTGCGGCCTTGAAGCACTCTGAGATTTTATCCTACATGAAGGGTGCATATAAATACAAGGTGTTGCAGCGAATCTGTAATGTAAAAGCAGTATGTCTGACAAACTTGCCCGGAGCTTGTCTAATTTGGACACCCTACCCATTAGGGTTTTGGCTTGCATGGTTAACAGGAGCTGAGTGGGAATCATCTCTGCCCCTAAAAACAGTAATTAGGGTGTTCGTTTATTTATTCCTTGTCATATTCAAACATTTGTCAGGCTATCAAAGCAAACAGGATGTGGTGGCATTGCCAATCGGTTAAAATTTATTCGAGTCATGCAAAGATGTATGTGACATGTTCTGGTTGTTGCAGCAAAGTCCTACAAGGCAATGCAGCAGAAAGCAATGAGGCTCATCCCCATTTTTTGTGTGTGTGTATGGTGGGGGGATGTGCAACAGGTTGGGCAAGGTTTATTAAGAAGGATTTATTTCCACAAAAGATAGCAGTAAGGGTGTTTTAGACCAAATCAAAATGACATTCAAG